TTTGCTCACGATACCACCAAGAATTGGTATTTTCTAGCAGCAAACAATCAGATTTATACACTTATGTAGAAGCATAACATTGAAGTTATGCTTCTACATAAGTGTAAAATCTGTCAAACGGGTGTTCTTTGAACCTCTACGTCCTTATTTCCATCCAAAGTCTGATTGTGGACGAATATGACGTCGAAGTAACTCGGTGAGAAGTCACGCACCGAGTTCACAGGTTTGTAACACATCTGTTGAATGAATGTGACATGGGTGTTGCTAAGCCCTTGTGACATGACTAGCCACTTCCAGATCATAATGCTCGGGGTGCTTAATGGCGTGTACGGAATGTCACGTTAAGCATTAGGATCTGACAGAAGCTATCCATCAGATCCATGGACAAAAAGATGGCACTCTTTGACAATCCCTCACTAATCACGTCCTTTCCTCGGTATTGGCGTCAAGCCGGTACCAGTGCAGAATTCAACTTGTTAAATGTGTTTACTAACCGCCATTCCTGATGAAATTTCGCACACAGAAGGTCGGGGATATGTGAGGAAAAGCTGACTCTCTCATATAGACCGCTGCAAAGCGATGTGCAAACAGTTGTCGATCGCAAGTGCTTATTAGTGAGGCAGTGGCCACTGCTTCATGAAACAGAACTTCTAGTCTGGTTTAAGCTCGATCTCGTGTCGAAAGCCTTATTTCTTGGGCTAATCACAAGGCACAGATTCAGGGAACTCGTCCGTGAAATCTATCGTATCCTTGTGCAAACCATTTGCCTGAAGCGATTTTCAAGATTGAGACGTTCATCGTCCAATCCGAGTCTTCTCATCGAGAACACATTCGTACATCGAGGAGCTGCTCAGAACCCGTTCTTTCCCAGTAAATTTTACTACCGACCGAATGTCGTTTACGTAACTTTTCTCTGTAACGAGTACACATATCTGCTTGACTTTGCAACTACGCAGATCTCGCAAGAACCGTTTTGGTTCTAGCGTTGGCATTTGTGTGATCTCCGGAGTCAACTTTGGAGGCGCGATCAGATCAATTGTATAAGCGCCTACACTCGACCCGTCATTGCCAAGACATTCGATGTCTCTGTTTTACCTGAAAATTCTTATCCACAGGCTGTCAGGGACCTAATTGCTTAGGCTGATGAGGTCTCGTTACATCACTAATAACTGCTTGAGAGGTTTCTTCCTCTAGTACATGGGAACTCGTTCCCTCGACGTCTTCTGCCTGTGGTTGCGCTACCACAATTATGTTCTTTACGATTAATCTCTCCAGCCGATCTAGGATCATCGTGTTGCCCAATGCGGGCAAACGGTTTAAATTCCTTGGATGTTGAGCTCTAGGCGTCCACCTATGTCCCAGTCCACTATACTTCTTCGAGTGGTGGAACTTCGTCGTGGCATGTGCATCCGTACAGCCACTAGCAGATCCCTTCACAGTGTAATTGGTTGTCACACGGTGATCTTGTGCAGTCGCACTAACGACCGTACAGCAAGTGAGGCCATCGCACATACTCGCGGTACACCAACACGCTTGTGAGCGCTCCAAGACGTTCATCAGGTGACCGTCTGGTAAACAAGTGACAAGAATCTTCACGGTTCGATGCTGCCAGCTGGCCCTTAGTTCGTACTTTTTGAACTAAGGCAAACCTGGGATGACATCAAATTTGTCATCCAGATCAAGCACGATGAAATCATCATTGTACTGCGAATATTCTAACGTGTAATGAAGTCCCACTACGCTTTCCATCAATGGTTTTGATGAGCTCGTTTCTAGGCGCACCGTCATCCTCGTCGGAGAAATATCGCGCTCAACAAATTGAGCCTACAATCCTCAAGCGACTGGCAACGAACAAAGTTTTTCGACGCCCACAGTATCTAAGGCACGGAGTGAAATATCTTTTGCCATTTCTAAATTCAATAATGAGAGGTACATCATCACCCAATGCAGAGACACGCACTGGTTGTGAGTCTGGATCACCTTTTATCAGAAATTTGCAAATTAGTTTGAGATTGCTGGATCAGTAGGGCGCTCCGCCCCTACTGGTCCTAACCATTTTTTTGACGGTCCGCTACGCTGTTGCAATTGCGCAAAAACATTAAACTTCGCCCGTTGCCCTTTCTGGCAAATGGTTGAACATGTCGAGACACTGGGCTTAGGAAGCTACTTTCGTAAGCGTAGTGTCCAGAATTCTGACATCTATTGCGCTTCTGCAATCGCTCGTTAACTGAAGAGAGAGGTATCTCGATCATAACATAACTGAGGTCCATAAGTTCTGTACCTCCGACTTCTTGTCGTCTTGATGGATCTACATATGACCGAACTAGCATGGGCCTGTCTCAAACCAAAGTTTTTTTGTTCTGCAACTGATATTGCTTCTTCAAGTGTATCTAATTCCAGGCGGATCATGGAATTAATGACATAACCATCCGCAAGACCCTGCATAGCACAGTGATCTATGTGCATTCATGAACCGGTTAACCATGACACAACTCGCAAGGAGCCGTATGTGTTGGGAGTGAGTGTGCACCTTACGCTCATCCTGCTTGATTTTCAGGAGCTCTTATCGAGCCCTGAACTCAGCCCTTAGTGGTTTAAATTGTTTTTCTGAGCCGAGTATTAAGGACCTCCAACGACCCAAACACATATGGGTCGTGCAACTTGACCCCAATGCCCAGGTTTTTGGCACGTCCAGCCGGAGTCGACTGAGCAAATGCGATTAGCATTAGCTCACCGACAATGTGACAAGCCTTTATGGCGTCGTTCAACTCGACGAACCATATCAGCAGGGAGTCTTCATCGACTCCTCTGTCCTGTGAGATGCCTATCTCTAAACATTCGGGTCAACACGAGTGCTTCGCCCGGGAACAGCAGTATGTACTTGCTGTTCTCTTAACAGTACAAACTGTTGAGCATCCTGTTATCTCAACAAATCTGCCTGTTGCGAACATTACTGGTTTAGAAAGATTACATTTTCCCGTGACTCGTCAAGTTCATTTTGTACCAACTTGGCGGAGGCGAAATGCTGCCCATTTCTGTCCAGTGCGGACAGCACGACAGAGGCGGAAAGTTCGCCCACGTTCGGACCCATTCGTTCGACCGTACTCCATTCGATGTCACTTAAATAGTAGTAAATTAATGCGTGGGGTGAAAGCTGTCACTATCATCATCCAACATGTTCATATTGGATGTAGGGGTTGCGGTCCTCGGACAGACTACAAAGTGCTACCAGGTGTAATGGGGCACTGGTCACTGGTACTGCTTCAGCACTAGTGCACCTACACTGACAACATTGTAGGTAGTGCCGCGCGTCGCTTAAACCATACCGTAATTGCAGAGGAATGCTAGCTAGTGAACGACGCGTTCGTTAGGAGGGGAAGTTAAACTGTTTCAAATATAATTAAGGTCTTCTTCATAAGCCAAGGTCTTAGTGTCAAATTAATTGAATTTACCTACAATAATGAATGTTAAAGTCTTGCTCACCTGTAACGGGGCACCCTGAAGCTTGGACTGGTGACAGTACAAGCTACTTATTCTGATGACAGAATAAGACGGTGCCTCGGAACTTCACGTACACTGGTACGTGCAGAGGAAGACGGTAAGAAGAAGCGAGTACTTGGTTAGAGTAAAAAGTATAACTGTATTTATAATAGTTAATGTCTGCAATAAATCACTATTTATCTTCATCTAACTATGTCTAAATACAAATGTGTAAATCAACTATCTGCTCACCACTCATTGCGTGCGTCTGTCGTGGCGCGTCTTCGTTGGTTGATATAATGGCCTATATCAACCAATTAGGAACTACTCGTAAGTGCTGCAGAATGTTAGTCCTTATGACAATATTCTAAGAATGTAACCCTTATATTTATATTCGATTAACAATTTCTTATAAATTGTTATGTAACGATTCACCCCGTTACATCACCCCCCCCTTAACCATCAGTCACTTTAATGACTGATTGACTAAATGGATGCTCGTCCCAAATCAGTTGGGACAGGGTTTGCACTTGTTGGTCCGCGTCCACTTTCCAACAATTCATCGCATGGTTAACAAGCCCATGCCATGCGCGAGCAAGGCCGCCGAGAGCGCGTCCGCACGTCTCTGTGCGGGCGCCGAAGCAGAAACCACAGCAACTGATGTCTCATCGGTTGCTGAAGCGACCCAGCCTGTATCACCTGGTGATGCAGGCGCTCGTCATGAAGACACTCATGTCTTCACAGAGTATGAGCTCGGTGTCTCGTACTCTCCTGATACGGAAGACGGATCCGTATCGACGGCGATCGAATCCAAGCCGCCTGCCAAGCGTGGCATGGATGATGCTTTGCGTCGTAGCATCTTTGGTTCATCTGATGAATTAGATGAGCCATCGCCGAATCGAAGGCGCTCGAGGTTGCGAGACTCGGGCGCTAATAGTGGTGTCGGTTCCTCTATTGACACCACTTCGCAACGAGGTGCCAGTCCCTCTGTCGGCACGTCGCAAGAAGAGCGGGACCGCAGTGTGTTGCGCCTCGCTCCCGAAAAGAAGGCATGTATGCCTCCAAAGTTGGTAATGGATCGATTGTCGGCGACGACAAATGATCGCTATCGAACACGATTATTCGATTAATCAAGGATCCATCACCTTGACTTCAGTGCGAAAAACTATCGCACTGAACATGATTTCTTCATCGATGCTTTCTTTAGACATCGATGGTACAGTGGGAATCACAAACGTGATGGTCCCTCACTACTTCAAGCGTGGAACTCTTACATCCATAACCTTGAGGATGTAGGTCGTGACGTTTGGAACGACAAACTCATCAAAGCTCGTGATAAGTTTGAAAAGCGAACCCCGACAGGTGCACGCTATAAGCTGCATCGTCTGTCTAGGTAGAAAGGGTTACCCTGTCTTTCCTGGGGACACCCGTGCCCTCGTTGTGCAAACAACTCTGCGCGCGCACCTAAGGAGGCTCACCTCCTTACTAGACCGTGGTGGCGCGTACGCATCTCTAGTGAGATGTACAAAGGGATTGACAACCTGAAATCCCTTTACGACCGTGCCGGGAAGACTTTCTCCGGCGGTCCTTCTGCGGAACAGGATGTGCCGCGTCGCACTGCTCAACCAGACCCAGTACGTCAACCATCAGTTGGGAGCGGGGCTCCCAAGTATACCAGGACGGGGGATAGCCGCGCCACCCGACGAGGTAACTCGTCCGACGTCCGTTCACATCGCGGTGGTTCAACAGCTGCTCAATCAGATAGCGCTGGCCACCGCGAGAGTCCTCTAATGGAGGTGGAGAAGGAGGGAAAACGATTTCCACAATATCGTGGGGAAGCGTGTGTTCCCGAGAGCTTCTTTGATCGCGTAACGCAAGGGTTACGCGGCGATCTCGAATATGAGCGGGACAGGCGTCTCCAACTGGCGGACACTGTCTCGAGGCATCGAGCTGAGTTTGCTATTGCTCAGCTTGAGAACGAGAGAGCTCTGACGTCTCTGCGTTACGAGCTAAGGGTAGCTCGTGTGGATGTGGACCAGTCGCGGGATGAGATAGCTGCTCTTCAGACCCTTGTCGATGGCCACCATCAGGAGCACAAGGCTCTCTGTGAGATGCTTGAGCACAAGGGCGTCCTTCATCGGAAGAAAGTACACATCAACGCTTCGAGTATACCACACTATATTTAATGAAAAGTGACTTTGTGCAAAGAGTGTTATGGTAAAGTTGCGTTCGGCGCAAGCTGTTATTCTATTGCCAGAAGCCAGGACATTAAACTATAGAATGTCCATTTAGCTACACACCCGAACAGCATCAAGGTCAAAAGCATGTATGATAATTATCGAAAGCGTACGAGATGAAAACGAAGATGCGGACGAAGCTTTCTTGCTCAATTACTTCAGAGCTATCACGATACACTTGAGCGTGGTCATAAACATTTATTTCTTGTCGCGCAAGCCAGACACAGCTAGTGGTGTACCAGTTACGATCCTGCTGGGTATGGGAGCTAAAAAAATGTAGACTCGGGACTGAAATCTTGAGTTTTTTATTACTAACGAGGCCAGTAAAATCAGTTTGATGGGTCTCTTACCTCGTCGGCTGGGCTTGATACGACTTTTCGCTACCGTGGACGCCAGCAGAGGAGATTTGTCGAATACGTTTTTCACGGAGACCCTATTAAATGACGATCATATTGAAACGGGGTAGCCCATTACACAAAACTTGACACCAAACGGTGTCAATAGGAACATTGTCTAGCATGACAATATCCTACCAATATTTTCCGAGATGGATAATACTGAAGGAATATCATCCCCTTTTTGGATAGTATTCATGCGCTGCTCAAAGATTGGTTGGTACAAGACATACTATTCATACATTGCAACCAATCAAAGCTAGTCGCGCGCAATGAGTGGTGAGCAGGTTGTCGTCTTGCGACGATGTAGTTTAATATAGCTAGATAAAGACTGCAGTCATTTTGATAGCATAACGATATTAAATACAGTTCTCTTCTAACCCTTTACTCAAACAAGTTGTTCAAGTAGATTAGCTTCCTCTGCACGTACTAGTGTACGTGAAGCTTCGCGGCACCTCGAGCAAAGGGTGCCCCGTTACAATCAGATTGTACTTGTTTGGCTGCCATTTTTATCAGTATGGCCTGCAATTTGACCGGGCGTTAGGCATATTTCTGCCTTAGTATCAGCTTTACACCAGGAGAAGGAATAATCAGCACTGGCAGAGCAAATCACGTGCAACAACGCTCCCGATTTATGTGGTCAAGTAAGCAGATCCTGTGATCGGAGGGACGAAAAAGCAGAGATGTTTGTGGTAAGCGCCACTTCTATCATAAGGAACGACAACGCCCCGGGCTGGCTCTGAAAATCTTATATAGACTATTTCAGTGAGGATGCCTAACGGAATACCACCGTCTCGTGCGGTGCAGTACGACGTGGAATTGAAGACATGCAACTTTAAACTTATGAGAACCATTTCGTCTATCGAATACAGTAAAAAAGTTTTGTTGATCCATGAGCTCCCGAAACGGTATATGTAGAGCTGAGGAAAATTTTAAACGACTTTAGCCAGCAAAAATTGAATTTGTACGTTACCATTAACTCTCTCGTGCCTCTAACTATCAGATGCCTTTTGCCATCAGTCGCCCCTTCCCCCAACAGTCGTTGCGTTCAAACAATTCTTTCAGGGATTTACTGACACCACAGACATTAACTGGCGCAGTTCGCGTAGTCACGGGGCAGCAACATTTTAGTGAGTACTTCAGCCCGCATCATCTTCGACTCGCAATAGACCATCTTTAGCCCTCCCTTTATGGTGTAATGTTAAACAAATTGTGTCGCGCTTCGATATTTATTGCTCTTCCCAAGCAGTGCTTGCCAGTGATTTGTTAAATGTACGCTTGATAATCGACATGCGGCATCACCAGAGGTATCACCTTGATTGTAATATCATCAAGTAGCTCACGCACTCTCAAGAGATCTCTTGACACCAGCGAACCTGCAACAAAATTCGCTTCATCGTAGATAGGTCCACGCTTGCTTGCTTCTTGCAGACCCACCCTCGCGATCCTCCGCCTGATCAGCGTCACCACAGCCTTCGAGTTTTACGCGTCCCTCCTCGGACTTGTCATCGTCGTCCTTCATTCAAAAAAAATAAATTTATCGTCCATTTCAGACATTTAGAAATCCGTTTAGCCCACCGCCGTTTGCACTCACGTGGTGCGTGTGATCTTCGGCTAGCTCGGTGCACGGCAAACGCAATGTCAGGTCTTGTACAGTGTGCAAGCCAAAGTAGACTTTCGACTAGCAACTAAAAGTGCCGATGGATGCTTGCCTTGCCGTTCCAACACCTTTTTTCAGGGAGAATATCGCCTTCATAGTCACCTTCATTTCTTCTTTAATCAGGGTTTGTGCTGGGTTTGCCAACTCATGTCTATTTGTGGGAAGTAGCTCTTGCATGCACTGTTCTTGCTCAGGCGTGTACCCATTATTATCGTCGTGCGTCACTCCCGCGCCAAAAAACCTTCTTACTGCCCCAAGGGCCTTCACTTCTAGCACGTGCATGCATTTGAATGAATTGTCGGCAAATGTCGTATTTGCACTAGTCACTAAAATATTGTCTACTTACACATTAACCATCGTGGTCTTGGACTCATTCCCGTTAAAATACAGGCAACTGTCAGTGTATCTTTGTAGAAAGCGTAATTTTACGAGCGTCTTGTGCAGGATCTGGGCCAGAGTCTTCCAGCCTGCTTCAGGCCGTAAGAAATCTTTTTAAGCACTAAGCAGCATGGCCTCTGTCACTCTGATTATCCCCTTGAAATTTTTTCGTCTATGATTATATACTGCAAAAGATGCTGGTAAATCTCCAGGTCGTCCTTCTTCTCCGTCTCCACACTTTTGCTGGATACTTTACCGTGTCGCAGAAAGACGCGTCACACTCTTGAAAGTGGCAGCAAAAGATTTTTGCCTTCGTTATGTATATCACTTTACTCAAAGTCGTCATATAATCAAAGCCATGCGATTGATCGTTCCTGCAGCCACCACCCTTGCCTTTGATCGCGCCAACGTACCGTCAGCATGTCGCTTGCTTATAAATACCCACTTCGAGTGCGACTTTTTTTTGCCAATATGGCCTTGGTACGACCTCACAAGTGCAGTTTGCCTCGAGCAACTCGATCTCGCAGGTCATTGCCTGCTGCCAATCAGCCAAGTGTGGTGAATGCATCTACTCGCGGTAGTTCTTAGGTTGTGCTTTCACGGCGATCATGACAACAGGTAAACGCTTTGTGATCATGTGTCTCGCGCTCATTCGTCCGACCAGTGGCTTGTCCGATTTAACATTCTCAATGCGTTTGATAGTAGTGTCACGTGACAAGACTTTCCTTTCAACTCCCTGCCTCGACTGCCGCGCTTCTGTTTATCTTTTCCACCGCTCTGCCATTTCTTTTAATTGACGGTGTCGTAGTCTGTAGAAGCTTTGGAGGTCAGCTGCTTCATTTATTTGACAGATTCATCGTGCTCTAGCATTGATTGCTCAAGGGTCGGGTCCTTACGTTGAATTTGTTCCTGGAGGTGGCGTCTGTTATCTTCAATTAGCGTTTCAACATTATTGACGTGATCTGTCGTCATAACCACTCTCTCGCGCGGAATTCAGATCTTTTAACCCTTCGTTTTGTCGTGCTTTCCAACAATCAACCCGATGTCAGCTCGATGTGATCAAGCTCTTTTGCTGATTATTGCGGTAAATGATACACGTTCTGCCAAATGCAAAAAATGTCGGATATACCAAGTATCTCTATATCAAACAGTTCCAGAGGCAACATACGCATCGGGTTCGCACTGCTGCGATTGCGACTAAGAATGTACGTGGCATATTATTCCGCGTCTGCCCGGATATGTAAGAGCAGATCGCTCTTAAAAATCATGGATCTTGCCACGGCTAGCAGCTTGCGATGGATCCGCTCTGCCTTCCCGTGTGAGATTTAGTTGTAGGATCTACTCACCTGGCGTCTTAATCCTGTATACTTGCATAACAAGTCAACACACTTACTCACCACCTCATTCGGTGAGTAACACGTGTACCTTGCAGTTGAACATTCTCTAGAAGTAATTTAGAAGAATTTAAATATCTTTGCAGCCTGATCTTTGGCATTGGCCGTGAAAATCGGCAGTAGTTAGACGCGTGATAAACGAAGTGAACCATTTATTAATTCTTGTGCCTGTCTGTAAGCGTTCTCGGTCTTATGAGATTGCTGCAAATAACGTTTTCGATGCGGTCTACCGGCGCGTTCTAACCAGGTTTTTTAGACTGGGTGTTCTTTTCTAGCTTCCCTTGAGCGCAGGTATAGCATTTTGGATAATTGCGGTAGATTAGGTAAAGCCTGATAATTACGCATCGGCCAAATTCATAACTGTATCGAAAAAGAGGATTTCAATCTGCTTGTGCAGGTCAAACAGCGTACACTTAATCTTTCCATCAATCTCGGTCTCTTGGTCGGTTGCACGCAACACCGCCTTCACCGTACCACGACAAACTGTCGGCGTAGAAGACGCCTCCACATGTATCTTAAGGAAATATTATGACCTCGAACACGTGCGCCTCATCACTTGTTTGCTTAAGGGATTTTCACCGTCCATTTGTGTACGACAACACCACGTCCCTTATCTTCAGCTAGTAGTATGAGGGTAGATTGTGCGCCAGAAATTTGGCATAGTATACATTGCTGACCGTGACCTTTCGTTGCTCACCATCAACGCTTACCAGCACGTTTACACTGCCAAACTTGCTAACCTTGATCGACTGGACTTTGGCTACCTCGCACGAGTCGTCACAAATATTCGCATTCACGACCATTTCTGGTTCCTTGACCACGTGGCGGCTTGAACCACTGTCCGAGATCCACGTATGTCTCGAAGTATCTTAGCCATTTTCTACGCTCCATGCGAACGCTGTGTGCGACGTGTCAGCGCTCAACTTGCAATCTCGCCTGATGTGGACAATCTGGATGCATTGGTAACACCTACTTCCATTATATGGCGTCATCACGTATTGATATGGGCCTGACGCCACCACAACCGTACCCGTCCGTGTGTAGAGTTACTCACTCTACTTTCCACATTCGCATAATGCTCGAGTGTGCTCGCAAAACCAGCTATTTCCCATGCTTATATTA